GGCAAATTGACTGAATGCTGAAAGTTGGGCCACTAACACCACACTAATTATTTACACTGCAAATATTTCAGAAAAAATAGAGACGATTTAGAAGTACAACATACCCATTATCTTGTATTCTTTTTTCTTTAAATACTTTCAGCTGCTGCTTATGGGATGGCTATAAATGCTAATTCAGTTCTTCACTTTCATCCCCACTAGCCCTTTCGGCTATGAAGTTCCAGAAAGAATGATAGTTCTACAACTAAAAGGCCCAAATCTTCATGACTGATAGATGACAAAACCAGAAGGGACCATTGTGATAATCTAGTTGGATTCCTGCCTAATGCAGACCCTAGGACTTTCACCTGAATTTAATTCCTGTTGGAACTAGAGCAGCAATGAGCAACCTAGGCTAGTGAGTGAGCTGCATAAGTGGCCCCCCTCCATCCCAGTGACTGCAAGATTGTTGTTACCAACATGATCTTCTGGGATAAGCTAAAGCGACGAGGAGTCCTGTGGCACCTTATAGACTAACTGAAGTGTAGGAGCATAAGCTTTCGTGGGCAAAGACCCACTTTGTCAGATGCATGTAGTGGAAATTTCCAGAGGCAGGGATAACTATGCAGGCCAGAATCAGGCTGGAGATGACGAGGTGGATCCAATCAGGGACTGAAGGTGAAAAATCCATTGCTATCTACATACTGCACAGACTACAGTGAGAGATTATGCCATATACTATCCAAAAAACTGAGGAACCACCTGATCAGCATCCTGTACAGCAAACAGGAAAACATCAAAAAAGAGCTCTCCAATCTGGAGTCTCTCATAAAACACCAACCTTCTGCACAAGTGGACTTTACTAAAATAAGACAGGAGATCTACATTACACACTTCACTTCTCTACAGAGGAAAAAGGACTGTAAACTGTCTAAAATCCTACCTGCCACATGGGGCCACAACAATGGTACCCCTAACTCACCCAGCAATATCGTCAATCTCTCCAACTACATGACAACTGCTTTACCTCTGTTCCTGCTAAAGAGGCCCATTTAAAAGTGGAGTAACCAGAAAAAATAATAATGTCTTCTTTCAGTCTCAGGCTATGTCTACACTACCGCATCCAGGGAATGCTTTTCCGAAATTTTTTTCAGAGGAGCAGACGTGCTTTTTCAGCATCCCTGTAAACCTCGTTTTATGAGGAAGAAGGGATGTTCTGAAAAAAGGTTTTTTTCCAACATTTGGCCCTGTGTAGACAGGCCAAATGTCAGAAAAGCCTCTTCCAAAAAAAGAAACGGAAAAAACTACACAAATTGTGATTCGCAATTTGCGTTGCTTTTTCCGCAAGAGCAATGTAGTGTAGACATAGTCTCAGAGGGCTAGCTGTATTAGTCTGTAACTTTAAAAACAATACAGTCCTGTGGCATCTTAGAGACTAAGAAATATAGTAGATCATGAGCTTTGGTGGGTAAAACCCACTTAATCAGATGAGTTGGAGTGGAAATTACAGAATTCAGGGTATATATAACAGCAAAAGCAGTTACCTGCCTTCTTTCTGTATAAGGGTTTATATTTCTGCTGTCTCTGTTCTATCCATGCTCTGTGTATAAACAGAGGATTTCAATCTCCAGGAATGTTAAGATGTCAAAGGCCAAAGAGACTAAATTAATATGAACAATCTTTATTGGCAGTTTAATAACAAACAGCAAAGCTGGTGCAGAGAAGCACAGAGGGGTCAACCCCGAGGTTGATAAATCCATTGCTTGAGAGGAGATTCACACCTTTGCGTAGTAGCCTAAATTCTAGGAGGGGGGTTATCCTGACTGCCTCATCTGAATGATTATTTATCATTTTTCTGGGAATCTGTAATAGTAACAGAACTAGTTTTTTTCTTTATCAACAAAATAAACACAACAAGCCTTGTCTGAACCAGCCAGCAATGAAGTGAGCCTCTCTACTGCAAACTCCAGAGCTGTAGATGCTGTGGGATCATGTCCTCACAGCCATTTCCAGATCCCATACTCATACCACCTTTCTCTGCCAAGGCACTGGTCTCAAACCCATTTGGCTGATGGAACTGCAAGCTTGCTTCATGCCTTCCCTACCCTGCATCATCTGACGATGTCTCTTTGCTGAGATGAAAAAAAATCGCACCTCATTGACATTCTTCTTCTAACATTTGCAGTGCTGGCAAGTCCAAGCCTCATCAGCACGACGGCAGGCCCTGAGGCCATCATGAAACCTAGTCAGCTGACACCCATCGACAACACGTGCCATTGACTGGCAGAAGCCACAGTGACAAAGTGGGTCATTGTGTGTAGGCCCTATGTATAGAGTTTGGCCTTGGCCACTTTGGAACCTGTTCACATCCAAAGGTGATGTGGTCAAATGCAGATGGTTGAATAATGAGATCAGCAGCAAGGAAGCCATTCCAAATGTCACCAGCTAACTACTCATTGCACCATACGGTTCCTGTTGATAGATTCCAGTCTGGCAATTCAGACCACAGTGGACACTTTGACCAAACTTGTGCTCTGTAGTGACTGAAAGTGCCCATGTACAGCCAGTGCCCATGCTGGCTGGATTGGCATGCAGCTTTTCCACCAGTCTGGCTATAGGTTCTTTGTGACTGATGTATGGAGAGGCTATGTGACTCAAAACTGGTAGCCATGGAATAGGGGTGCAGGGCACCTGTGATGATATGCATGGTCAAGTTCAATTCAATGTCAGCCAATTTAGGCAAATAACACCACGAACTGAAACAGTATTCCACCGAGGAATAGCACAGCATCAGAGTGTATGTGCAAAGTGTTGGTGCACTTGTGCCCTATATCGAACTAGCTAATGTACTGATTAGATTATTTCAGGCCTGATTTTGGCAGCAGTCTTTTTCAGGTGGTCATGCAAAGTCAAAGTGTGGTCCAGTATGACACCCAGGTAGGCTGATGTTGCCTCTTGTTTCAGTTGTTTTCCGTTGAGGTGGATGACGAACTCACGTTTAGCACTTGCATTCTAGAGACAGAAGATGCTTGAAACTGTCTTACAGTCACACTTGTCTGGGAGTCGCCAGCTACTTATGTAGGTTTCCATTTTGGTGTTCATATGTTCTCCAGTTCAGTGAAAGCACAATTGGGTACCACATTAGACAGTATCTGTATGGGTAACCATGCATGACTGAGTCAGTGGCAGGTCATAAATGACTGTCATAAAGTAGAAGTCCTCTTTGAGTGTTGTGGGGAGGAGAGAGATGAGAGAGCAGGTTATAATACATCCATTAGGGCTGATTATTAACCAACAGGTTACTACACTCTCAAATCCAGCTTATAAAATGAACACATTGGGATTTTTACATTTACACACTAGTTACAGACCAGCTGCCTCCGTCCCGTATCACAAAAAAATGAATTACAAATCACTAAGGCCCCAACCCTCAAAGGCATTTAGGTGCCCAACTCCCATTGATTTAAATAGGCAATAGGTGATTAAATACCTTTGAAGATCTGGGGCTGTGGGCTTTTTATCGCTTTTCTCCAGAAGTATATTAGCACAAATGTATTCAGATGCATGGATATTCTAGCTCCTTTTCAGACCTCATTCTATATAAATAATGTCTCTCTATATACTTCTTCATAAGGGAAATAAGAACCACCTGTTCCAAACACACTCCACCACATACAGGGGCTCAGTACTCCCCAAACTCTATTTGTTTTACATGATTCTTTTTTCTGTTTGAAATAATGAGTGTTTGTTTATATCACTGAGGTCTCAAGCATTCATATGAAATAAATAGTAGGGTTACCAGATGGCTTTAAAAAATTCCAGACACACTTGATCTCAGATGGTGGGGAGACCAGCTGGAAGGGGAGCGGGGCTGGCCGGGAGGGGGGGGAACTGGCCGGCGGGAAACAGGGCTGGCAGGGGGGAGGGTCAAGGGGAGGGGGGCAGGCCAGGGGAGATCGGGGGCAGTGGACCGACCAGCGGGAAGCAGGGCTGGTGGGGGAGGACGCGGGGGAGGGGAGGAGAAAATCGTGTGGCAAGGAGTGGGGCGGGGCTGGCCCGGGGGGGTAGGGAGGGAGAGAGGGGCTGGCCCGGGTGCACGCAGATCTTGGGGTGCTGCCTGTCCCGTTCACGGTCCCGGCGGGGATTTCATCCTACCCTGCCCCCACCCTCCTCCTCTCAGCTATGTAGTTGCATACTGTCTGGCTGGGAGACACATTCACACAGTGTGACTCATGCAGCATGAGCGTGTCTACCAGCCAGGCAGTACGCAACTACGTACTGATACTCCTAATAATAATAAAACTTACCTAATCAGAAAATAGTTTTATATGTCCAGTATTTTCTCAATTTGTTTTCTGGACAGAACCCTCAAATGCCGGACTCTTCGGTTCAAAACTGGACACCTGGCAACCCTAAATAAACATGGGCTGAATCAGAATTTTGAGTCCACGCTTCTTTGCATTTTGAGGGTGTTCTGAGAAAAAATAAGGCTTTTTCTTTGCAAAAAATTCTAACCTTGTTTCTAGGGTATCCAGTGGAATAACAGAAGAGAATCACAATGTAAAAACCTCAGATGTGAAGCTTTGTTCAAATCTAGTAGCAGTTACTAAGTGACTGTGGGCTTTACATTTGGCAAGCGTGTGTTTCTTAAAGTATAAGTGTTCTCAACCACCAAGGGGCTTCGCATTTAGATTATTTTATAAATTGGTGTGGAGCTTTGGTGCTTGAGGGTCTGCACATGGTATTACGGGCAAATGCATTGTGTGTAAATGTCATCATGTTTTAAAAACAATTAGAACATTTATCCCCCATTGTGATGGGGTGGACTAGGTTCAAAGGCCACCTGCTGGAAACATTATGATCCTGCCATACCCTGCTCCACAAAAAGGCAGTAACAATATCCTCTAAGCTGCCTAGAGTGGCTGTGTGGAACACAGCCAATAATAAAGGGGCCAATCAGGGCCTGGCAGGCTAATATAAAGAGAGCGGCAAGAGATTGAATGGTGTGATTGGCAGGCTGAGAGAGATATAAGCCCTCAGACAGGGTGCTGGTGGCAGAGCCTAGGGAACCATGGAGGAACTCTGAATTGGTTACTGGAACACAACCAGGACAAGGCCCTGAGGTAAAAGTGAAGAATGTTCTGGAGCCATGGGGAAGTGACCCAGGGATTAGTAGCAGTGATGTAGCTTATGTAAAGGGATATGGTGGAAAGTTGTTATCTATAGGGTCCCTGGGCTGAACCCGGAGTAGGGGGTGGGGCTGGGTTGTCGTCCCCCCCCCCCCCCAAAAAAACAAAACACCCAAACCTGGAAAATGGCCTGGATTTTGATACACTCCAAAAGGGGAACTGAACTTTTAGTGACCTAGTTGCAGAGCTGGGATCAGAGAGGTGAAGATTCTCCAAGGAGGAGATGTGCAGGATTTAGCGCTACACTAGGCTTGGGACTGCTTGAAAAAGCAGGGACAATTCAACAGATCCCAGGGAGGCAGTTCAGACCAGGATACTAAGATCCCAGAGAGGCAGTTTAGACCAGGGGAGCAGATCAGATTGAATGAGGAGTAAGCCCAGAGATAGGGCTGCAGAAAGAGAGATATAGGCCCAGTTGGACTTATATCCCAAAAGGGGATTAATTTATTTTTGTCTCACATACAGACTGTGTGAGAGTTGGCCAGAGGGCTGTGTTACTAAAGACTCACCACAATTGTTGGTGAGAGAGTGCAGGCACAAACCCTGGATTAAAGGGGCATTTGTGAGAGGTGAGTGCACCCCATTACACCCATACAAAGCACAAGTGAAAGAGTTAAGTGAAGACGACCTAGTTGGGGGTGGGGATGGAATGTCCCACAGGAATGTGTCCTCAAAGATTTAGTAACATTATTGCTTCTACCGGAGAGCCTGGTCCTGCAGTCTTTACTTGATCAAAACCATTGATTTCAGTGGGAATTTTATAGAGTAAAGGCTAGAAGCCATACAAGAAAGTAAGATTTAGTCTTTGCCATGGGAAGTGGAACATTTCCAAGGTGCATATTATTTATATTGCAGTGCTCAGAGGCTCCAGTCAGGATTGGACCCTCATTGTGCTTGGTTATGTAAAAATTACATGAAGACATAAGGCCCGATTCTCATTGCGCTACAGTATGTTTAGGCGCTGCAGCAGTTTAAAAGCGTGTAAATATAATTCACTGTGCGTAACTTACTCAGACTAGATAAACTGGTGGATGAATAAAGAGTTAGGTGGGTAGAACATGTACCCCACCCGGCTACATAATTTCTTCTGGTTTCTGTTATCCAGATACCCATCCTTTCAGACCCCCCCAGCCTTCAGATACAGTTTGCTCATATTTCTCTCAAAGCTCTACCATAGACCTCCTTTGAAACCCATGCAAACCCTTTCACTGTTAGGAAATCACCAGGCCATAGCTGAAAACAGAATGTGGACCACTGTGTGGTTAAAATGTGAGGAGAGTTATTTTGCTTTTTCATCACATTCACAGGCTGAGCAGTGCAGCATGCTGTGCTTCCTTCAGCAATTTACAACAAGAAATAACAACTGTATTGGTATCTTTATAATTCAATAGTCCAGGCAGAGAAAGAACATCATAACTCCCCATCACCACAAATGTATCTGAGTCACTCTCAGTAACGTGACCAAGTAGATGAGAAGTGTTCCACGCTTCACAGAGCACAAGGAACTTTTGGAAAGAAAATTCCCCAGAGCTATGGTGAAGGGCTCAACTCTTTATCTTACCGTTAAATCTGTTTTCTAGTCTAATGCCATATTGGTTTCAGCTCAGTGAGTAATTACAGAATCAGAGAAATAAGCATTGCTCTTTCATTCTTAAACATCACAAGGAGCTTTTACTAGCCTTATCTTAACCACCATTTCCCCAAGAAAACACTGCTGCGTCTGTACATAGAGCCTTCCAAGGAAAGCAAGCCAAGGGCAGAGCTTGGATTTCACCTCCGTGCAATATTGTTGGCTGTGTCCCATTGAGCTAAAGGTGTCTTTGCTTACTGATGGATGTAATTTCTTTCCCTTATTGTTATGCTGCCTCTGAAGTGGACAACTACACAAGGCTGATCTGCCTTCTAACAAAGGAAATTATCTCGGTCTTTCCTGGGGGGCAAGGCTTTGTTTCTTGATTCTGAAAAGTGGCGCTTCCTTGACTGTGCTCTTAGTTAGGGTGTGATCTCATTAAAGTTCCATCATGTTTGTGGAAGCCTACAAAATAGCAAAATGAAAGGATCTTGGATCCAATTCAGCAGGTCTGCCTCAGGCAAAAGTCCCACTGAAGTCAATGAGAGATTTGCTTGGATCCATGATCAAGACCCTTGTTTGCAAATGTATCTCAGAACCACTGTGGAAAGAAATATTAACAGCTAAAAAATATGTAATTATTGTTCTATTGTAGCTAATACATCTGGGTATGTTGCTTTTCGTACCTTCACAAGCATTTAAGGCAGTATACTTCTGCCTTTGTGTTGCTTAGCTACTGTATAAATTGACCTACTGGCTAGAGCAGTAGTCCCCAACCGAGTGCCTGGGGGCGGCACCACGCATGCACCGTGCGCCCGGGGTGGGGGCTGTGCATGCGCCGGAGTCTGGGACGCAAGAATGGCTCGGGCCGGCCCTGGTCACTAGAGGGGCGCGTATAAATGCCCCGGTGGACGCCATGGCACCCGTGGGCACCGCATTGGGGACCACCGGGCTAGAGTAAGTCCATATTTATACAATACAATAATACTTAAAACAAACGTAGAAATATAACACAAGCTATCTCTATTCCAAGGACATTAATTTGATACATGCATTGGGATATATTTAGAATAGGAGAGAATGTTTATAAAGCAATCAAATTGGTCATTGCAGGGATCCCATTTTCCCCTGTAGTTTATATGGCAGTTTCTTGTCATATTCACTAGCGTTTCACCTGTGTTAGTTTAAACCTTCAGCGATTCAGTCTTGGACCATGGGCAGGTTTAGGACCATAGGCAATGGGTATAATAGGCCAGGGAGGGCATTGCCTTCCTTGGCACTGCTAACAACCTGTCCCCAGCAGCTGGGGCCATGGTGCTCCCCTTCCAAGAACTCCACCACCGCTTCCACCCCAATTGGTCCCTGCAGCTCACCACGTCCCTCCTCTTACAGACAGGGGAGTGAAGAGTGATGCGGAGAGCTAGTGGACTGCTGCTGGGGCCACCAGCTGAGCCTGTGTGTGGGAGGGCAGGAGGACCTGGTGCTTGGGGAGACTGCCAGCTCAGCCCAGCGCTCAGTCCAGCCTGACTCTGGGAGTGCTGGGACCGGGCTGGTGCCTAGGGAGATGGGAGGCAGCTTGGGCAGCTGGTGTCGCTAGGCTCAGCTTGGTGCTCGGGGTGGCACTGGAGCTAAGGGAGCAGATCGGACTGGTGCGGAGTGGATGGGGCCTCGCAGCTTGGCCCGATGTGGCTCAGGTGGGCAGGCTGGGGCTCTTCTGATCTGGGGGGGGCCTTTCTTTTGATGGGGTGGGAGGCTTTGGGGTGCCAGCATGCTGGGGCAGGGCCTTCGGTGAAAGAGTGGAGCCAACAGGCTTGTCTCCCCAAAGTTAGAGTTCACCTACCACCTATGTTTGAGACCCTCCATCCCCTTGGGATGTGCATCTGTTTTGTTACTGGGCAGTGACTGTCTAGCTTTTGCAGAGAGAGTCCAAGATTCAGACTTGTAGAGCGGAGGCTTTGGGGTGCCAGCATGCTGGGGCAGGGCCTTCGGTGAAAGAGTGGAGCCAACAGGCTTGTCTCCCCAAAGTTAGAGTTCACCTACCACCTATGTTTGAGACCCTCCATCCCCTTGGGATGTGCATCTGTTTTGTTACTGGGCAGTGACTGTCTAGCTTTTGCAGAGAGAGTCCAAGATTCAGACTTGTAGAGCTGGTGATCTCCCTCTTCCCCTCTCGCCTCCCTCTCTACT